TACGCCTGTGTATGCTGCCTACATGAAAATGTTGGAGTCTCATGCACAGAGACCCAGTTCATTTCGCATGTCAGATTTCCTGATCTTTCCCTCCTCTGTCAACATTTGCTATAAATGGTAATGTGTATAATGAGCACTGAGTTAATCCTACACTAAAATCCAGGGCTTTTCTCAACAGGAACATCCTGAATGTATGTACTGGCAAGGGGTGCTGGGATATGCTGCATGATTCTGTATTCTCTGGGAGGAGGGTAGGGGGTGGAAGGAAGGGACAGTGCTCAGAGGTGGGTGGGGGGCTTGAACCAAGGGATGGTGCTTGTAACTGGGTGGAGAGTAGTACAAAGGAACTGTGCTCAGTGGTGGGTGGCGGATGCAACCAAGGGATGGTGCTCGGAGGTGGGTGGGGGTGGAATCTTGGAACAGTTCTCCAAGGTGGGTGGGGGGTGGAATCTTGGAACAGTGCTCCAAGGTGGGTGGGGGGTGGAATCTAGGAACACTGCTCCAAGGTTGGTGGGGGGTGGACTCTTGGAACAGTGCTCCAAGGTGGGTGTGGGGTGGAATCTTGGAACAGTGCTCCAAGGTGGGTGGGGGGTGGAATCTTGGAACAGTGCTCCAAGGTGGGTGGGGGGTGGAACCAAGGGATGTACTCAGAGGTGGATAGAGGGTGGAACCTAGGGAAAATGCACAGAGATAGGTGGAGGGTGGAATCAACAGATGGTGCTCAGAGGTAGGTGGTGGCTGGGACTAAGGGACGGTGCTCAGAGGTACGTGGAGGGCGGAACCAAGGGATGGTGCTTATAAAAGGGTGAAGGGTGGTACCAAGGAACTGTGCTCAGAGGTGAGTGGAGGGTGCAACCAAGAGATAGTGCTCCGAGGTGGGTGGGGGGTTAAACCAAAGGATGGTGCTTGGAAGTGGGTGAAGGGTACAGCCAAGGGATGGTGCTAGAAAGTGGGTGGGGGGGGGGTGGAACCAAGGGATGGTGCTAGGAAGTGGGTGGGGATTGGAACCAAGGGACAGTGCTTGGAGGTGGGTGGAGGGTGGAACCAAGGGATAGTGTTTCTAAATGGGTGGAGGGTGATACCAAGGAAATGTACTCAGAAGCGGGTGGTGGGTGCAACCAAGGTATGGTGCTTGGAGGTGGCTGGGGGTGATACCTAGGGACGGTCCTCAGAGGTGGGTGGGGGTGGAACCAAGGGAGGGTGTTTGGAGGTGGGTGGAGGGTGCACCCAAGGGATGGTGCTAAGAGGTGGGTGGGAGGTGGAACCAAGGGACGGTGACCGGAGGTGGGTGGAGGGCGGAACCATGGGATGGTGCTTGTAAATGTGTGGAGGGTGGTACCAAGGAACTGTGCTCAGAGGTGGGTGGAGGGTGCAACCAAGGTATGGTGCTCGGAGGTGGGTGGGGGGTGGAACCTAGAGACGGTGCTTGGAGGTGGGTGGGGGTGGAACCAAGGGACGGTGCTTGGAGGTGGAACCAAGTGACGGTGCTCGGAGGTGGATGAAAGGTGGAACCAAGGGACAATGCTTGGAGGTGGGTGGATGGTGGAATCAACGTATGGTCCTCAGAGGTGGGTGGAACCAAGGGATGGCGCTCAGAGGTGGGTGGAGACAAGGGTTGACTTGGAAAGTGGGAGTTCCTGTGTCTATTCTATGAAAAAAAGCCCTGATAAAGTAAAATAAATCATCAAACAGTAAACGCTCATATATCCATACATAGTGCTTATATGTCAAAATAATGTTGTGAAGTATTTCCATACACAATACAATCTGAGCTAAAAGCATTGACAAAATCCTATGAAAAATCATAGGACAAGTAATAGTCCAATCCAAAAGTCCCAATGCGAATGGAATCTTAGTAAGAAAGGAAATAACCGAACAGAAGCTTCAAAGCAAATTCAACACCACCCATGTGTTTGAAGTGCACACTTACCTGAAGGCACAGACCCCCACTGCCTGAGTGGTTAAACATGGTCAAACAGCCTATGATGGAGCAATCCTTCAACCCAGATCCCGGTAAGCTCCCTGCCTTCAGACCACTCGGGCCAGGGTTGTGGAAAAGAGACCCGTGTCATCATCAACATGGGGACTAGGTGCTTTGCCAGGAAATGGCTGCAAAGTGGCAGCAGGGGATCAGTAACACTCTTGCAATTGTGCATGAAAAAAATTAAAAAGATTCTTTTTATTGAATTTTATTTATTGATTAACAGAAATAGAAACAGAGTACTGCTTGGACCTTGAAGAAGGGGACATTCCCCAAAAGCTTGTCCTCAAAATTGTATGTTAGTGCAAATAAAAAAAGTATCACGGACAGTACTCAATTGTTCCTGTCGCAAATGCACTAATACGGCTACAATCACCTCAAGCATTTATTGATTAGCAATAGTTATGATGAACAGCTCCTTAGCAAACAAAATGTTATTGAGTAAGGCTGGATTCACCCTGTTTTATGTGTGCTGTAGTGCACATGGTAGAGCACATGTCTGGGTGTGAATGAGCCCATGCCATTTCTCACATATGTACAGTGCATAGACCTGAACCAGATCCAAAAAAAAGAAAGAATGGGATTTCTAGTTGAAAGGCATTTCAAGCACCATGCATGAATTTTTCTGCAGGCAAAACAGATAATTAGGAATAGGCCCTTAGGGCCCATTCACACTAGAATGTGGTACAGGAAACCCGCGTTCCACCGCATTGCGATCTGCAGCAGGTATTGGTGCAATGTTACCGATACCCCAAGCGCAGGTTGTAAACTTGAGTGTTTACCCACACTGGGTCACATGGTATAGAAGTACCATGCAATTCGGTTGCATCGTGTTTCCATAAGTGGTGTTGTGACTTCTCCGTCACATCCAACAACGCCACCATCAAACCCGCCCCACAGGCCAGAGTACTTGGTGTCATTCTGGACTCCAACCTATCCTTCCAGCCCCAAGTCCAATCTTTAACAAACTCGTGCAGACTCCACCTCCGCAACATCGCCAAAAATCCGCACGTTCCTAACCCCAGAAACCACTAAACAGCTCATCCACTCCCTCATCATATCACGACTCGACTACTGCAACTCCCTCCTCCCCTCTGCCAATCCCTCCACTGGCTTCCGATTGCGCAATGGATCAAATTCAAAATCCTAACACTGACGTACAAAGCTGTCCACCATACTGCCCCGTACTACATCACTGACCTAATATCCAAGTACCGCCCAGCACGCACACTCCGCTCCTCACAAGACCTCATTCTCTCTACTTCCCTGGTCTCCTCCTCCCATGCCCGCCTCCAGGACTTCTCCAGGGTGTCACCCATCCTCTGGAACTCCCTACCCCAATCCATCAGATTATCACCTACTCTCCTCTCCTTTAGGCGCACCCTGAAAACCCATCTCTTCAGGGAAGCCTACCCCACCTCCTGCTAACTTGCCGACCTCCTCCACTCTTCCTACCACTCCATCCCCCACAGCTATCTCCTCCTGTGCCACTATTCCCTCCCTCCTAGATTGTAAGCTTGAAAGAGCAGGGCCCTCGATCCCCTCATGTTTTGCATTGTATTGGTATTGTTCTGTCACATGTTCTGTCCCCCTTTGTAATGTACAGTGCTGAGCGAACCATTGGCGCTTTATAACTACTGTATAATAATAATAATAAGTACTGCATACACTACTTTTGGTGTAGAATGATTTTATCCCATTTGAAATGAATGGGCTGAAATTATACTGCACCGCAAGTAACAATTCACTTGAAGGTGAACATTTAGTTTAGAAAATCACCCCCGTTAGTAAATCACCCCCCATCGCCTTGTTAAACGAAATAGCCGGTGATCCTGGATTCAGGTCTATTACACCACAGAAGGTAGTGTAGGAATAGAAATCATAGACATGCGTGAGATACTCACTGTGTGTATGGAGTCCGTGTGATCACTGTCCAATATCTCCTTGTTCTTGGTCTGCACTAGTTAGTTAGGTTAGGCCAGTGAAATGTATACAACATGTGCTCCCAGAAAAAGAGGAGGGGGAGTGAGGAGCTAACCAGGAAATAATTGGATGGATCGGTTTTCAATGGATCAATCCCACTAGCAGCCTAGAAGACTTTCTATTCAATCTAATTGACCTACACTGGAAAGGACCTCACCCCCACCACGCATGTGCCCCATCACCAGTTGGAGGAAGGGGGAGGAAAGGCTCAGTTCCATTTATAGAAGGGACAAGTTTACTTGGAACCATTTCTTCTACCAGTATAGTATTACAGCAGCTGCAGGCACAACAACAGGACTAGGGAGGAATGAATTCTTAGGTTATCTATTGAGCTTTTTGGTGCATGGATGCATTTTATGTTTTTCTTGTCAATGTTGTTTTGTACTAAAACTGAAAATTGTATTGACAGAGTACCCCAGACTAGGGGGATAGAATGCCTGGAACGCAAAAAGATTGGTGAAGACACTATTTCTGTCTACAACAGTTCACTGTCATCTTCCCTGGACACACTCACCTCTACTCATCTACATAGGTGTTGGTGGATCTAAAGGATATTGTACAGTCACACAGAATCAGTCCCTGACCACTACAATCCTGGCAAACAGACAACATCAGAAGTCTCTTAAAACATAGCCAGTCTCTTGGGTGTCTGTGCTGTAAAATTAGGTCTCAGCCAGGTTTCAACCAATATAAATCTGCCCTCCAAAAATACAATTCCTGCCAAACAGATCCATTTTATCACTTTCATTGACACCCTCTTATCCAGTCCCCATCAACTCTTCTCTATCTTTAAATCTCTACTTCATCCTCCACTGCCTCACTCAATGCCCAGGAGATCGCTAATCACTTCAAAAATAAAAGTGATACAATTTGTGATGAGATCTCTACTGTACAGATATCTCCCCTACTTAACACTCCATGTCCACAGGTACACTCAATAACCTCATTTAACCCAGCTATTATAGAGGCGGTTGCTAACCTTTTTTCTAATGCCCACCTAACCACCTGCACCTACAGTCACCCTCTGGCTCTATCCCAGGGGCGGACTGACAACTCATGGGGCCCCCGGGCAATAGGGGATCATGGGGCCCCTGTGTCCTTGCCCAAACTCAAAAAAGCCTATGAAAAAGGTACCAGGGGCATCTCATGGGGCCCCCTACTGACCCCAGGCCCTCAGGCAGTGCCCAAGTTTCCAAATGGTCAGTCTGCCCCTGCTCTATCCTACACTCTGTAATTCACATCTTCAATCTCTCCCTCTCCTCCCCAACTCTCTAAAACATGCACTGGTCACTCCCATACTTAAAACACAGTCTTAAAAACCTATGACCCGTCTACTTCCTCCCTTTTACCTCCAAGCTCCTTGAAAGCCTGGTCTACAACCACCTGAGCTACCACCTCACTGAGCATAACCTTCTTGTTCCCCTTCAGTCTGGATTTCACCCTCAACACTCCACAGAAATTGTTCTCCTAAAACTCAAACGACTTATTATAGCTAAAACCAATGGTCACTATTCTGTACTCCTACTCCAAGACCTTTCTGCTGCCCTTGATACAGTTGACCACCCCTCCTCTTTGGTCTCCATGACTGTACTCTTCATTGAGTCCCATCTTACCTATTCCACTGTAACTTCAGTGTCACTTACCATTCTACTTTCTCCTCTGTCACTTACCATTCTACTTTCTTTTTGGGGTCCTCCAAGGTTCTGTTCTTGGACCTCTCCTATTCTCCGTCTAAACCTCCTCCCTAGGTCAGCTAAAATCCTCCAATGGCTTTCAATACCATTTGTACGCCGACACCCAAATCTATCTTTCTACCCCGCAGCTCATTCCATCAGTCTCTTAATGCAGCACTAATTTACTGACCGACATATCAGTCTGGGTGTCACACCACTTCTTCAAACTAAATCTATCCAAAACTGAGCTCATAATATGTCCTCCTCCACGTGCCCATTCCCCTGACTTCTCGACTTCCTGTCGAAATCAACAGCACAACTATGAACCCGTCCCTGCATACCAGGGTGCTAAAGGGGTTCTAAAGGCTCAACCTTCTGTGTGCAGCATACCCCCAGCCCCCCCCCTAATACTCACCTAAGCCTCCTCTGGATCCAGAGATGTGCACTGGAGTCTCAGTTGTCCTGGGACACCCTCTCCTCATTGGCTGAGACAAAGTGGGAGCCATTGGTTCCCACTGCTGTCAATCACAGCCAGTGAGCCAATGAGAAGAGACGGGCCATGGCTCCATGTGTGGATGGTTACACGGAGCAGCGGGTGCCCCCATAGCAAGATGCTTGCTGTGGGGACACCCAACAGGAGGGATGGGCCAGGAGAGCCTGCGGGGGACCCGAGAAGAGGAGGATCCAGGCTGCTCTGTGCAAAACCACTGCACACTGCAGGTAAGTATAGACATGCTTGTGATTAAAAAAAAATCCTTTAGAATCACTTAAGTGGACTCCAAATCTTGCTACCTCAATTTAAGCAGCAGCTTCAAAATACGCCCCTTCTTAACCAATGACACCACAAAGCTTCTAATTCAGTCCCTGGTTATATCTTGTCTCAGCCATTGTGATTCCCTTCTCATTGGCTATCCCCCCTTCAGTTCAGTATAAATGTTGCTGCCAGACTAATCCAGCTTACCAACCATTCAGTGTCTGCTACCTCTTTGTGCCAATCCCTCTATCGGCTTACGCTCACCCAGTGAATAAAATTACTAACTACCAAATACTAACCTCAACTATTCAACAGAATATTTTAAAAATATATTTCAAATATATTTTTTTTTCATATGGCAAGGGTCACATGAAATGGCCTGGAGGATCAGATTTTGCCCACGGGCCTTGTGGTTGACACCTGTGTGTTAGGATATAATCATTTATTTACTGTGATCAGTGATAATGTGGTATTTTTTCTGAGTCGCTCAAATTTGTATGAATAATATTCAACCTGGAGAGAAAATAGGCTAATATCATTTGTTTTTGCCCCCATTCATACAGAACAATGGTACATGCAGTTTCACAAAACAATTAGCTCCACTTTTTTTTTTTATAACTAAACTCTCTAGTTTTGTAGAGACATTTAAAAAAAAGGATTTTTGCATGCAGATGCTTGGAGGATTGAGATTGAAGACACCATATTGTCTTTTCATGACTATTGCACCAGAGATAGGCTTGTCCACTCCTACTACCACCATTACTGATCCATACCAACCCCCACTTTACAAAAAACATGACACCACTTTTGGAGTAAAATGGCCAACATGGCCTTTTATTAACAACTCACATTTTAAATACATCAGCCATTCCTTCCAACGGGAACCAAAGAATTGTTGTTGGTCTTCGAAGGCACCCCCAAAGATCCGAAATGCAGCTGCGGACAACCATATACACTAGGCCTCCAGCCGCAACCAACCAGCTTGGAGACAACCATACCGTCCGCAGTGCAGCACCACCACCTTCCAGTTAAACCTTGGTTAACTGGGAATGTCCCCCGGGCACCCCATATCACCGATGGGTCCCACACTATTGTTTCTTACCTTCCAAGATGAGAACCGCCTCCAAAGACCAACAACCGCCCAGGAACCAACATAACCCCCCTCTCCCCGGGAGGGACCCGATACCCAACAAAACAAGGAGGGTGGGAGGGAAGCTTTTCTCCTTCCTAATGTCCAGCTCCACTGACGCCCCCGATTGAAGACACCATATTGTCTTTTCATTCTACAATTTTTTATTTGAAAAAAATAGTTTTCTCTTAACTTTTCCAAGAATGTCAGCTGTTCAGATCATTTTATATTTAGCACTTGGAAGGTGTACATGGAGTAAACTATGCAATGTAATAGGAGCGATTTACTAAAATTGGAGCACCCAGAATCTGTTGCAGCTGTGCATGGTAGCCAATCAGCTTCTAACTTCAGCTTGTTCAATTACGCTTTGACAATAAAACCTGCAAGCTGATTGGTTTCTATGCAGATTTTGTACCACACAGTTTTAGTAAATAACCTCCACTGAGTTTAATTGGAAGTGTTTATATTACCAGTATTGCAGCAGCAACATGAAACGCGTCACTAGAAATAGAGAAGAGAATAATGAAGAATTCAGTCCATGCTCCATTCACTAGTTTTACACCCAAAATATTTACACAAGTTATTGGATTTTCTATGGACTCTTTTCTATGGACGCTTTTTTTGTCAACTCTAGACATTGTGGTTTGCATTGAAATTATACACGAATCCGTCATAACATTATGACCACTGACAGTTAACCCGAACAACATTGATTATCTCATTACTATGGCATCTGAAAGTGGTAGGGATATATTAGGTGGCAAGTGAACATGTTGTCCCTGAAGTTGATGTGTTAAAAGCAGAAAAAATAGGCAAGCGTAAGGATTTGAGGAACTTTGATAAAGGCCAAATTTGTATGGCTAGACTGTGGTACCTCCAAAGATAAGGAGAAAAAAAAGAGACAGAGGCTGCTGAAGAGCTGCTTGTGGTGTAGTAGCTTGACAGACAATTGGATGAAATAAATGAAGGTAAATTGCAATGGTGTACTTACATCTATGAGGTTGATGATCTCCCTAAAGCTTGGTTCACACCTCTGCAGGTTGCATCTGAGCCCTTTCTGCATTGCATTTTGCATTTTTGCACTTGCAATTTTGATGTGTTTTTGATGCGTTTTGCAAGCTTTTTCTTTATTTTTTCTTGATGCTAGGCATATTTAAAACACAAAACACCACAAAAATGCAATACATGCTTTTCTGCCGCTTTTCCATTGAAGTTTAAAGAAACAAAACTGCAACTTTTTGTATTTAAAAAAGTCCATGACCCTTTCCAAATTTCCAAAAATTTCCAAATTTCCATTTCTGCAAAACGCTGCAGAAAACCGCTTAGGTGTGAACCTAGGGTAATGGGGGGGGGGGTCAGACAACCTGGAGTGAAAGCCTGCTGGGAATATGACTGTTCCAGCACAGAGTAAGGTTGCTGACGATGCTTGGTGGGGTGCTCCGGACAATCCTACTCTCTGTGGTCTCAGGATTCTGGTATGTTCATAATAAGAGGTTTATGAGCCCCAAAAGTAGGGAAACTGGTGTCAGTAGAGGCTGAGAAATGGATTCTTCATTGATTCAATATCTATTGCTCACAGAATAGTATAACACACAGGCCAACACGTTTTATGGCACTACACTGGCCAATTCCTCAGGATGGTGCATAAAACACTGATAAACAAAAAATATGTAGGTAAAAAGATATATATAAAATGTTTGTGTGTGTTTGTATATATGTTATGTCTTACAATGGGTATCAAATTCAAGTGATCGAACATCAATAATACGCTATAAGTTCACCTGATAGTAAGAAGAACAGTCTGACAAACTATGTTCAATATGTTTACAAAAAGGTTATATATTATTATTATTATTATTAGTAGTAGTATTGTTATTATGATTATTATTATTGATATGAATATTATTATTAGTATTATTATTAGTAGTAGTATTGGTGTTATGATTATTAATATTAATATTATTATATTATGATTATTATGATTATTATTATTGATATGAATATATTATTATTTGTAGTATTGGTATTATGATTATTATTATTAGTATAAGTAGTAGTAGTAGTATTAGTATTGTTATTATGATGATTATTATTATTATTAGTAGAAGTATTACTATTTTTATTATTATTATTATTAGTAGTAGTAGTATTATTATTATTATTATTTTTTAGTAGTAGTATAGTAGTATTGGTATTATGAATTATGATTATTATTATTAGTATTATTAGTAGTAGTAGTATTGGTATTATGATTATTATTATTACTAAAGTAGTTATGGTATTATGATTAGTAGTAGTATTGGTATTATGATTTATGATTATATATTATTAGTAGTAGTAGTATTATGATTAGTATTTTATTTATGATTTAGTAGTATAGTAGTAGTTAGTAGTATTATGATTAGTAGTAGTAGTATATTATTATTATTAGTAGTAGTATTATGATTATTATTATTAGTAGTAGTAGTAGATTTTTTTATTAGTTATTATTATGAATTATTTTTATTTTAGTTTTTAGTAGTATTTGATTTTATTGATTTAGTATTATTAGTAGTAGTAGTATTTATTGATTTT